GGTTCGGTTACATTAAATGTTGACCATCTGATGATTAAGTTAAGAGTAGATGGTTTAGATTTGAATCATACTAACAAAGGTAGAAGTATACCTAAAAAATTTTAGACATGTTGTATACAAAATGACCTTAATTTATTAGAATTAAATGAAAATACGACTCTCAATAAGACAATAGAGAAAGGGAGTCATGTAGTTGACCCCACTTACACGAATAAAGGTTTGTTGTTGCATTTATGTTATGAAAATGATAAAGTCATCAAGCCTTAAGAAACTAGAAGCTTAAAGAAAATGGAAATTTCTTTGAGTTGAACTTACCAAACAAAGATCTAATCCTAACCAAATATAGGAATGTAAGCCCCAACTAAACAGAGTCCTAAATTTATCAAATGTTGTATCAAATACATAGTTGTCAAGTGTCAACCCTACCAAACATGGGCTGAGCCGCTATGGGGGCATTGGAGGCTCGTGCCCCCATGGGATATATATATATATACACACACACAAATATAAGGCCTAAAATTCTTTATTCAGCTGCAAAACTTTATGTTTCATAAGGCTTGAAGCCCACGGAAATAAATTATTATTTATTATATCTTAACTAATCAAAATAATCCTTATCAAAAAATTAATATTTTATTTTAAATTTCTCGCAAATGGATATCAAAGCCCAACACAATAAAACCAATTTATGTATGTTATATTCAAGATGTGTTATAGTGCAATGTCTTCATATTTAAACAGCCACAATGTATGTTTTTTTTCCAATGTGAGACTAAAGTTTAAGCATTTAAATATTAGTATGCTATGTTGCAATACTTTTGCATTTAAACAGTAGTGTTACGACACATAATTTATTATTAAAATTTTAGGTAAGGGATTTTTAATCAAAATGAATAATTTTTTTAAGATTTATTTAAATATTATTCTAATATAAGTTTAATTTTTCTTTAATTTATGTCAAAATAAATTATAACAGTTTTGAAACTTTTTTTTGCTAAAATTTGGATGAGATATCTAAACAAAAAATTGTTTATTTTGATGAGAACATGTATACAATTATCATGAATGCATTTTAAAATATGTATAATATAAAAGTTTAGTGATTTTTTACATAACGAATTTTATATTTAAGAAAAAAATTTAAAGTATTGTTTTATTTTACAGAAAAAAATAATTATTATGAATTAAAAATTTAGTTTGTGCCCCACACTAAAAAATTTTTATAGCTCCACCCTGCTACCAAAACAACGATATAAGCCTTTAACTTTACCAAGTCCTAAATTCTCCAAGTTGAATTTGAACTAAATATATGGGTCTTAAGTCTTAAGAGCCTTCTTTATCTATTATAACGATGGAAGCCCTAACTGTGTAAATGGTTTGATCAAATTTGTATCAAATATACAAACTTCAAATATCAGGTCACCTCTAACAAATAAAAAAATGCAAAACTATTCTCATGCCATTTTAGACCAAAATCCTATAAGTCCCACAAAGGCATCCAAATCAATTTGCGGGCCTTCCCTTAAAATGAAGGCCCCACCTTTTCTAGATTTAAACTCTTCCGCATTGTGTGACCAAAATAACTACCAAACAAGACAAATAAAAAAATTATATATATGTGATTATGACTTTCCCTAAATTCAACTAAAGTCTAACCAAGAAGCCAAGCAATTATAATTATTAATCCGAGTAATTACCAAGATACTTGAAAATGTTCTTTACCATATAGATACTAACCTTAATAGTATACCTAAAGAAAGGAACACCTCAAATCAAATCATTGATATGCTATGCATTTTCTAATAATGACAGATGTCATTGGTGATCTTGAATGTCTAAATCATAAACACATAAAGCATCTAAACCAACCTCTATATAGTTTAGTCAAATCCAATATGATGAACACCAACAATCACTCAAAAACACCTTTAAACCATTCAACCACTAATAGCAATACTAGCCTCCTTGAATTGATTTGAATCAAGATTAGAACATTAAAACACATTAAGACAGAGTAACTATCCTTATGTGTAATCAAAACCCCAATCTACTCGAAATACATGATATGAGTGAATATATGGTTGGTAATTAGACTCCCTGAACAATACAACACCAAATTCCTCTATTGACAATGGGTAAGATTCACCAAATTGACTTGAGACATAGGAACCTAGAGATCTTAAATCGGTTGACCATGTATTTCATAATCATATCCTAAATATAAAGCCAAATTCTACAATCACTGTTTCAAAGCGCATATGATGTCCATATTCAAGAGTGTTATTGAGAATTGTACTTGAGATATAAGTAAGTGCGGAAGATTATACAATCAGGAAATATAGATCGCTAGAACCTATCATAAACCCAAGATACTTCAAATTCATTTTTAAGTAAAATATCTATGAAAATGAAATAGACTAACTTTTAAAACTCTATATTGTTCAGTAATTGGTTCTTAAACTCCAAAAAAATCTAAAGGAAATGATCACCCCTCAAGCTCAAGAGAGATTTCAAAGTGCATAATAGCTAAGTGAATCCAGTTTGGTTAAGTTATAAAACAGTTTGCATAGCCAATATTTTGAATTTTGATTTCTACTCTTATGTCATAAGTCTTGGTTGTCCAATATAATCATGGCTTATGTGTGCTTTGAACATATAGCTTTATATGGTAGAAATTAATATCTAAATCTAATTTCATCTCCTTCACCTTTTCATCAATCTAATACGAGAATATTAGATTAAACACAATACTATCACAAGTCTTAACACTTTGTTCCATACATGAGAGCTCTTCACATAGATGATCACTGGTCCTCAAACATAAATATTGTTAATATCATCAAATGCTTTACAATAATATTTGATTCAATCATATGAAAATATTATGTGAGTCGTAGTGGCCCACAATTAAATCCTACTCAAATGTGATAAAAGGCACTAAAAACATATGTGAGCCACAAACTGTATCAATCCTTTGATCTCAATCAAGCCTTTAACCCTGATACAATCGGTAAGGGATAACGGATCAAACAGGCATTGAGGCTTTGCCAGATAGGCCAATGTTAAAAACCTATTTTTGACCTAAAATCTTAAGCTTATGGGATAAGAGTGACATCCACTTAATATTTCCACACCATAATATCTATCCATTTAATATGATACTAAACTCAATAATTTTACATTGCATTCCCCACCATATGTGAAAGCTCTATAAATTTCCCACCACTCCCTTTTGAAAAAATATATTTTTCAAAACCTTAAGTTATATGTACCAATATCTCACTTGACTATATGAAGTCAATGTAGAATTTCCCTACTATTCAACATAGTTCAAAAAGATAAAAGAAATCAACAATTTATAGGAGAGATAAATCAATAAGCCACCCGAATCGACCTTTCAACTATGATTCAATTTATTAGTGTATCAAAACAAAAACAAATAAGGCGGTCAAAAAAGCACATTGTTCCGTGAACAACTCAAGTTCGGCTCACTTTGTAGTTCATCTTCAATTCATTCTTTAAGTAAACGAGTCAAACACAAATAATTATTTTGAGCTCGATTTTTAAATGAGTTGAATATGAACAGAACTTGGATTGCTCCATCATGTTCGAGCTCATTTTGGCTCAAATCAATCAATCAACTAATTAATTAATAGTTATTTTAATATTTTTATATCGATTTTGTTTTTGTATTTAAAAATATTGTACAAATTTATTATTTTTTGAACCATTCGAACTAAACTCTAGCTGAAAAATAAGTCGCAAATGAACAAATGAATTTGAATCGATTCAAACATGAATATGCTATTTACAAGTCATTTTGAACATAAGCTAATTTTTTTTTAAAGTAGAAAGGAGCAAATATTGAGCTCACTCAAGCTCAGCTCTTTAACAACCTTAGGGCAAAATATAGGCATAACACACCAATAGTAAAATATATTTTTAACCTTAAAGCTTAAGCTTATACGATAATAGGGACAACACTTAATATTTCTATATTAATATACTTTTCAAATATCTACGATAAAACTAAAGTCAGTACACTATTAACAGTTAACAATCTTCTCCTCGTATAAGAGCTATTAAAATTTCCCATCATGAACCCTCAAATGAAAATCTTTTCATGTCATCAAACATCATGCACCGAAATCTCACTAAGCCATATGGAGCTAGCACATATATCATATGCTATCAAACAATGATCAGCCAGAATAGACAATACAAATAACCAAATGGAGACATAAATCATATGTACCACTTAATCTCAGCCAACCTTCAGCTCTAATATAACTTATCCAGAGGTGTGGATCAAAGTGAAGCCAAAGTGGAGCTTATTGGCTTACCACACTTGTGGACATTGGTCAAATATGATTTATAAGCATAAGAAAATAGGAGAGAAGGGCTACCCATTTCAAATTTTGATTATTTTCTAAACCAAAACAATTTTTCCCAAGAATGAGACTAAACCAAATATCTGCATGAGCTTTAACAATAATAGCAAAGCTCTAAGCTCATGTGTACTCTTTTTTAGTTCCTAATAAAGAGAAAAAGGAGACACATTCTTCTCTATTAGAATTCTCAATCACGAAGAATAAACCTAAATCATTTATCTCCTCAAACCCTAAATGCTAAAACCTTGATTCATAATGTGATAAATCCTTGCATTCGTTTGATTTATGGCTTATGCTTCTATGTTATGTATGTTTACTGTGTCTTAATTTAGTCAAAAGCCACGGTGAATCAATTTTTGTCGCATTTGCTTAGAATAGTACTTGGCCAAGTTTATAATCTTCCTTAGAAGAAAAGCATTAAAATTAAGAAAAAAAAAATAAAAGTTTATTTTGACATTTTCTAACCCTAAACCCTAAACTTCCAAACAGTGTGTTAGTTCAGTACCTTTAGTGCAAATGGAAGATTGCAGGGATCAACCAATTCCCATTAAAATTCTTATTTCAAGGATAAAAAAAAAACTAAACAAAAACACATCGGTGAAAACAAACCTCACTATCATGTCCGCGGAATTTCCGCATTACAAGCACAGTTACAACATCGAAGGTAAAAACCTGTAGATCCCCACCGCACGAGCAAAGCTTGGCATTGTCCCTTTCAGTGAATAATCGATGAATGCAACAACGTTTAGCCATCACAGAGCCGACATCTGAGATAATTATGAGAAATGAAACACAATTAAAAAGTGGGAGTTCGAGGGTATCTTACGAGGAGACATGAACGTCACCAACCTCGCGGACATGAGATTTGTATGTCTTGATATTGATGTAACGGTGTGGGTTTCAAAGGCGGAGGGTGCAGTCTCCCACAGCTAGCTGAGGCAGTAGTTTTCCTAGGGCTGTAATCCAGCGCGAGTCGAGCCTTTTATATCAGCATGGTTTAATCTAATTATATATTTTTCATGTTGGGCTTCAGCTTATGCGAGTTTTCAAGTGTTATTCAATTTTAATTTTTTTAAAGTTTGTCTTTGCAACAAAATCATCAGCATGAACCCGAAAGCAATCACGCGGCTTAGTATGATGGCCAGACAATCTAGGTATCAGAAAATGATCATAGTCGATGATCGAACGACCGATAGCTCAGTCGGAGTTGACCGACACATTATGATGAGGGACTCAGTCAACAGACCATGCCTATAGTCTTGGACCATCTTAAACTTTTCACGAGGTGAGTCCGATCGCAACAGCATTTTTACTTCGGTAGGCCTAATCTCCACTTAGTTGGTCACCTCGACCTTCAGATCGAACTCAAGTATGTCGTCCAGATGGTTACCGTCATGTTTGAATTTAAATTGTAATACAGAATTTGTAGTAAATCATTATGATTAAATTGTGTTAAAAATTGTTTCCCTAACTGTTCTCTCATTTCTATAAATGTATAAATACGTCGTTATAAGTAGAAGACAGAGAGGCAAATAAAAGGACCTCTCCCAAATACTCGATAGGGACTTTCTGAATTGCTCTTTCTCATCCTCCTTCTCCCGACTCTAACTCTCGATGCGTGTTTTCACAAAGAACAATTTAGGTTCCAACATCCTAAAATGTGATACAGTGAGCGTGGACATGCCCCAGATGAGAAGCTGAGTCAACTACGAAGGAGAATCCTCGTGAAGAGACACAACACATATGGAATTCAACAAAGAAAGGGTGCGTCAGGATATACAAGAAGAGCTCTAGGTGCTGCAATGATTATGGACTGATTCAAGGCTCTCCAAGTGGCCTTAACCTAAACGAATGTCCAACTACCACCCTTGGAGGGAGAATCTCGAGGAGCTCGCCCCAAAATAGCCCCCCTCAACCCGACAGTGCCAGAGGACAAGTTGGTGACTTACCGACTGAATGTTAAGAAGGCTCCCGCACACCAAGAAAGCAGGATCCACACCAATCGCCAGACATCAGGAGGTCAGAGAAGAAGTCCCCACCAAGCCGATGGTGGGTAATGCTTTCTCTCGGAGAATCCCGAAGGTTGTCGCCATCGAAGTTGAGAATTCCTCACTTCGACTCCTATAAGGGAAAGTAACTTTATTTAAATATG